GCTCGTTGGAGACTCTGCTGGAAGCCGACCTTCCTAGGCTCCTGAGCCTCGGGGGGCTCCCCACTTCCGCAGGGCGACACCCCCAAAGCATAAGCGGTGGATTTAGGGCACATCACAGTCTGACCCCAATGCACCTTTCAGTCCCAGCCTGTAGCCTCGTTACTCCTGCCCACCCACATTCACCCCAACCCCCCAAAGATCCTGACACCCCAACTTTATTCCCAGGCATTCCCACCCTGTGCCCCTTTAGAAACTGGAGCAGATCACGCCTGGGGGGGGGGGGCAGGAGGCGGGGACGCTCATGACTCAGCAATGGGCTCAGGGCATCGCACTTGGGACTCAGCCAGCGGCTCCCCGGCCTCTCCCTCCGCTGCCAGGCTGGGGAGGGGAGCGGAGAAGCGCAGGCCCCTGGGCTCTCAAGTCTCGGTGTTGGCAGTGACCCGGAGGGCGCCCCTCAGTCTGCGCTGGATCCTGGGCTTGGAGCTCCTGGTGCTTGCTGTCGGCCGCTCTGAGAAGCTCCAGGGCGGCAGGGCTCTCAGCCGCCCTCTCCAAGGAGCAGCTTCCCCGGGCGGCCCACCCCGCGGCCCCACGCGAGCCGGGCGGCTGTGCACACCTCGGACCTGGAAGCCCTGGGGTGGAGTATCTGAACCAAGATGGAGGAAGCAGGGATCCGAGCCCCCAGTGCCGCCAGCCCTGTGCTCAGCCGCCACAGAACCCGGCCGACGCCTGGCAGCCTTGGGGGCCATTGTCGTGACCCATTTTCCAGAAGGAAAGCTGAGGCTCTGATCGGGTGAGTGACCGCCTGGGACCCTGGGCCAGGAGAGCCTGAGCCAGGCCTGGGGTCCCGCCTGCAGCAGCACAGGCCGGGCCCTCCCCTGGGGACCCTGCTGCCCAAAGCAGAAGCCAGGGCTGGGCCTGGGGGGCAGGACCCCGGTCCTCTGGGCACAGACAGCCCCCAGAGGTCCCTCCACCGCTGCCCTTTTCCGTTCGTCCTGCCTTCCCTCGGTGGCACTTTCTTTGGTTACCTCACCTAAGTATAATTTTCCCACTGATTTTTAGGGAGAGGGAGAGAGAGACACATCGATGGGTAGACTCCTGCATGCTCCCTGCCTGGGGCTGGGGATTGAACCTGCAACCCAGGTACGTGCCCTGGCCCAGAATCGAGCCCACGGCCCATCGGTGTGCGGGCTGACGCTCTAGCCACTGAGACAAAAGCCAGGGCTCTGGCACTGCTTAACTTGCAGCTGTGTGCCCCTGTGCCTCCTGCCCACCCGCAGGCATCTCTCTGTCGTCTACCCGTCCAGGAGCCAGGCCCTGCCCCAGGGTCAGGCAGAACTGCAGGGGCAGGAGGCCCCCAACCCCGACCCCGTAGCCCTGGGACCCGCCGCCCGTCCTGCCTTCTGGTGTCTCCCTGTAGCTGCCCAGATGCCCGCTCTGCTCCCCTCCCCCCCCCCCCCCCCCCCGCGTCATCAGAAGCACACAGCTTGTCTGGCTTCACAGAGTGGATGACAAAGGGACCACAGACCCAACCCGACAAGCTCAGGGGGCCAGTGTGGTGGGCCCTCCACACTCAGACCGAAGGGAGCCCCAACTAGGAGTGGGGCCTGGTGGGCGTCGCGTGGCTTCCCTGCGGTCGGCTCCACCTGCAGCGAGTCTCTCCTGCGCTTTGCGTCCAGGAGGACACATCTTTGGGGTGTCAGAGGGACCGTCCTCTCCGGGCCCTCAGGGTCACCCCGCACCAGGGCGGGGGCCGCAGAGCCCACTGCTGTCTTGTTCTCCGAATCCTGTCTGTACGCTGTAAACGTTAAAAGTGAACCACACTACCCTTCCCACCAACATTAAAGAAGTACATTTTTTAAAGTAATGTTTTCATTTTACTTTTAAATGTTTTTTATTGATTTCAGTGAGGAAGGGAGAGGGAGCGAGGGACAGAAACATCAGTGATGAGAGAGTCATTGATTGGCTGCCTCCTGCAGGCCCCCACCTGGGGATGGAGCCCACAACCCAGGCGTGTGCCCCGACCGGGAATCCAACCGTGACCTCCCGGCTCATAAGATGACGTGCTCGGCCACTGAGCCCCCGCCGGCCGGCCTCCCGAGCACGTCCATCGGATCCCAGCGGTTTCCCGTTGCTCTCTCCCGCCTCCCTGGTGACCGCCTGGCCTCCCCTGGGATTCTGGTGTGTGGCCTACGCTGCACTCTCCTGCGCATTTTCTCTCGAGGCCTCGCTTCCTGGCAGTTGCCGCCAGTTTGGCTCAAAGAAACTCTTACCAGCTCTCTGCAGGGCGGGCGTTTCCCAGTTCACAGCCTCACAGCAGGCGGGGACACAGCTGGGGGAGGGGGTCAAAGCGGAGGGGACACAGCTGGGGGAGGGGGGATCACAGCGGGAGGGGTCACAGCTGGGGGAGGGGGATCACAGCGGGAGGGGTCACAGCTGGGGGAGGGGGGTCACAGCGGGAGGGGTCACAGCTGGGGGAGGGGGGTCACAGCGGAGGGGACACAGCTGGGGGAGGGGTCACAGCTGGGGAGGGAGGTCACAGCGGGAGGGGACACAGCTGGGGAGGGGTCACAGCGAGGGGACACAGCTGGGGGAGGGGACACAGCTGGGGGAGGGGGGTCACAGCAGGAGGGGACACAGCTGGGGGAGGGGGGGTCACAGCGGGAGGGGACACAGCTGGGGGAGGCCTCTCCCAATCTGATGGGGATGGAGTTTAGGTGCAGCTTCAGCGGCTCGCCCTGCCCCCTGCCCTCTGCTCTGCAGTCACCTCCTGGGGCTCCAGATTTTCTGTTCCCTCCATCCTTGGCCGATGTCCGAGCCCATGCAGCAGGTCTGGCTAGGGCAGTTCCCCAGCCTGGCTTCCTGCTCTTGCCACCAGTGGGCCACCCCGGGGGCGGGCAGGGTCTGCTGGGAACACCTGGCATTCCACAGGAGGCCCTGGCCCACAGACCCGTGTGACCTCCTGGGCTGCCGCCCGGTCCCTCGCTGCTGGAGGTCCCCCCTCGGCCAGCTGGGCGCAGGCTTCCCCAGCTCCCTCAGCCTGAGCCCCTTCATTGCTGGGAGAAACTCACCACCCCGAGGCCCTACCCCAGGGGCAGGCTGCCAAGGCGTCCCCACCCTCGGCCTCCAGAGCAGGGGGTTGGGGGTTGGGGGGGAGGGAGGGGCTCGGCGGGCCTCCAGCTGTGGGGGGGGGCGGGGGGACACTGCCCGCCCCAGGACTGAGGACACCCGTGGGTGTTTGTCCCCGTCCTCCCTCTGGCAGAGCAGACTCAGTCCTCGAGGCGAGGCCAGAGGTCCCAGAGGGATGGTGGGGGACCCTGGGGGATCCCCGTGCGTCTTGGCGATGGGTGCATGTGGTGCCATGTTCACGAGGTGCCAGCAGACCGTCACACAGGGACAGAGCCGGCCTTCCCGGGGCCAACCCCACTCGCTGTCCCGGGAGACCCGCCAAGGGAGAGTCCAGGGTTCCAGTCCCTTCGGGCCCCAGTTTCCTCTGCCCAGCATGCCTCACTGCAGCAGGCTCAGCCCCGCCACACGGAGCCAGGAGCAACCAGGCGGCTGCCAGCCCAGGCCACTAAGTTTTGGGGTGCACTGGCACGCGGACGTCATGGCTGCTACCGGCGCTCGGGGCAGGAGCAGAAACCAGTGAGACTGCGGGGCTAGGTCTGGGCCGGGAGCAGGCGGCAGGAGAGAGGACAGGGCAGCCGTCGCGGCTGCGGAGGGCAGGCCCCGCCCGGCTCCTGTCTACCGGTGTGGGTGCAGAGCGCACGGAGCGAGCGTCGGGGTGACTGTCTTTGCCCGAGTGGACGGAAAGGGGGGCTGTCAGCCTCCGCGGTGTGTGAAGCCCTCAGAATGGGGCGGCCGCCCCGGGGGTGGGTGTGGACAGTCCAGGGTGGGCCCGGCGGGTCAGGAGTCCGCAGGAGGCAGGAGGCAGGAGCACCAGGGGGTGGGGCGGGGCGGGTCCTGGGAGCCGAGGGAGGAGATGGGGCGGAGGGGCCAAAGCCTGTCTCAGGTCCCGTCCGCCGGACGAAGGACTGTGAGCGCGGGGTCAGCAACACACACTGAGTAGCTCACGCTCCGGGGCCGCGTCCGAAAGGAGTCTCCGGAGCTAAAACCAAGGAGGCGCAGGGCGTGCGCCCCCGGGAGGGAGGCTCCCCGGGAGAAGCGTTCCCTCCCTTTTGCAGGCGGGGGCGTCTGCACTCCTCGGCCGTGGCCCCTTCCCTCCCCGACCAGGCGCACTGCAGCCCGAGTCTGTCCTCGTGTCTCCCTTCTCCCCTGGCTTCCTTGTCACACTGTCGTCCGCCCACCGGGACCCTGTGACGACCCGGGCCCTCCCTGATGTCAGGGCACCGTCCCCATCTCCAGAGCCCGAACGGAATCGCACCTGCCAAGTCCCGGTTGCCATGTGAGGGGACTGTTCACAGGTTCTGGGGATCAGGATGTGGACAGCGGGCTGGGGGGCATGGGTTCCACATGCAGATTAGCCACCCCTCCCAAGGCCGCCCAAAGTTCCAGCTCAGGACAGCACCAACTCAGGTCCAAATCGCATCCAAGTCCTGCCCGCTCGCTCAAAAGCCTCAAATCTCATCATAGAAATCACCAACATCGGGTTCGGATGAGGCTCAGGCTAAGCAAGAGGCTGGGTGGGAAGGACACAGCGTGGCCACTGGATGTGGCTAAGGGAGGGGCTCAGAGACTGCCCGTCAAAGGCTGCCCTGGTCTGGGGGTGGGGGGTGGGAGCTGGGGTGGAGGGGGCACTGAGCCCTGTCCGCCTGGGGCAGACCCTGGCCCAGGACTGCGAGGGCCCCGCTCATCACGAAACCCAAGGCGCAGTCACCCCGCGCCCATGCCACAGACGGACAAGTCGAGGCGCACCATGGAGGTCACCCTGGATGCCTGGCTTCCATCTGCAAGCCCACTGCCTCCTGCGGAGCCACCGAGACGCGGGTCCTCCGGGGTGCCTAGAGCGTCCCGGAAGTGATGAGCGGAGGGGCGCGGCCCGGCGGAGGGCGGGGCGCCGGTACATCCGGCGGCGGCGGCGGCCCGGCGCCGGCAGGTGAGTGGGGCGGGCCTGGGGAGCGCGGGCGCCCTGTGGTCTCTGATCCCCTCCCGCCCAGCAGCGCTCCCGGGAGCCGCACCCCGGTTCGGGCCGAGCCCCTCCGCCTCCCGCCCCACGGGGACCGGGCCGAGCTGCCCGCCCCGAGCCATCCCTGCAGCCCCCGCCCGGAGCCTGGCGGCGCCCGCTCCCGACCCGGGGGCTCCGCCTGCAGAGGACACCGGCCACTGCCCCCGGAGTCGCCCTCCCTTCCCCCGAGGAAGCCGCCTGCGCCTTGACTTTCTGTTTCCCCTTTGGGTTTGCCCTTGCCCCACGCGTGGCCCCGGGATAGAAACGCCTCACACCCGCCTCGAGTGGCCCGCGCGGCTCCCCGCCCCGGGGTCCCTCGCCCTGTGGTCCGCGCGGAGGGGCTGTGTTTGCACCCACCGATCTCCCTGCAGGATGTGCACCCCGATGTTTCCGTCCCTTACCCTCCCCACCCCATCCTTCTTGCCCCCAAGACTTCCTCCATCTCTCTCGGTTTCCAGAACACTTCTTTATGTTTTTTATTGATTTCAGCGAGGAAGGGAGAGGGAGAGAGAGAAACATCAGTGATGAGAATCGTGGATCGGCTGCCTCCTGCAGGATCCCCAAACCCCGGCATGTGCCCTGACCAGGAATCCAACGGTGACCTCCTGGTTCATAGGCCAGTTCTCAACCCCTGAGCCAGCAGCTGGGCCAGAACACTGCCTCCCTGATGGTGCCCTCTGCCCCCACAGACCGCCGCTCGCCCCCAAGCTCTGTGAGGACAGGGAGGGGCCCATGTGGATAAGGGGCCCCCTCTCGCTCTCCTGCCCCTTTGGTCTGTTGTTCCTCCGGCACAAGAGGATCACAGGTTTGCGGCTCTGGGTGCCCCGTGGCCTGGGTGGCGGTGCTTCCTTGGAGGGGGCGAGCCGGAAGCCGCGTGGTTTCTCCTGCCGTGCCCTGGCACTGCCTGGTGTAAGACGTTTCCGGGGCACTACCTGAAGTCCACCTTGAAAGCGGGCTTCTGCCTCAGGAGACGGATCCCCGTGTTTGCAGCTGTCACGTGTCGCCCTGCGCACACCTGCATGTCAGGCGTGAGGCGTCGTCCCTCGTGAACGGGTTCCTGGCGCTGAGCCTCCAGAACACCTTTTCCGGGCGCCCCAGCCCTTCCTGTGGGGTCCCCTTTCCTCCTGGTTTCCTGTTAAGCATCTCCCTGAGTGGGTAATGGCCTCTCCTTCCCTCTGCTCCCCACAGGGCCACACAGCACAGCGAGCCCTGGAGAGAGCGCCTGGACGCCTGGCCCCCTGGCCCCGCAGCGCAGCCTCTGCGAGCCGCAGCCGGCTCCCCGGGCCCCTCTGCTCCGGCCTGGGGCTGGGGGGAGAAGCTGCCTCCATCCCGCAGAGGAGGCCGCGGGCTTCAGCAGCGCGGAGACGCATGGGGGCCGCGTGTCGAGAATTCCAGGAGCTGCCACGTGGCCAGGAGTGGAAGGCGGGGGAGCGCTGAGGCTCGAGGCTGCTGGACCCAGAGGGAGGCAGGAGGCAGAAGGAGGATCGGCAGACCGGCAGGCAGAGGCAGGGAGACGAGAAAGTGAGGGGCACGGAGAAGGGGGAGGGGAGGCCTCCAGCAGGGGTGCCTGTCCCCCGTCCGTCTGCCCGTGTCTGCCTCCGGGACGAGCCTCCCTCCACATGGCCTCCAGGCAGGCTGCCGGCAGGGGCCCCGGGGAGAAGCGCAAGAGGGTGGTGCTGACCCTGAAGGAGAAGATGGACGTGTGCGCGCGGCTGGAGAAGGGCGAGAGCCGGAAGGCGCTGATGCAGGAGTACAACGTGGGGATGTCCACGCTCTACGACATCAGGGCCCACAAGGCGCAGCTGCTGCGCTTCTTCGCCAGCTCCGCCTGCAACAAGGCGCTGGAGCGGCGCCGCACGCTGCACACGCCCAAGCTGGAGCACCTGGACCGGGCGCTGTACGACTGGTTCCTGGGCCGGCGTGCCGAGGGCGTGCCCGTGTCGGGCCCCATGCTCGTCGAGAAGGCCAAGGACTTCTACGCGCAGATGCAGCTCACCGAGCCCTGCGTGTTCTCCGGGGGGTGGCTGTGGCGGTTCAAGGCCAGGCACGGCATCAAGAAGCTGGACGCGGCCGGGGAGAAGCAGGTGGCCGACCGCCACGCGGCCGAGCGGTTCTGTGGGTTTTTCCGGAGCCTGACGGTGGAGCACGGCCTGACGCCGGAGCAGGTGTACAACGCCGACGAGACCGGCCTCTTCTGGCAGTGCCTGCCCGGTCCCACCGCCGAGGGCGGGCCGGCGCCCGGCGGCAGGCAGAGCCGGGACAGGCTGACGGTCCTCATGTGCGCCAACGCCACGGGCTCCCACAAGATCAAGCCCCTGGTGATCGGGAAGGGCAGCGGCCCGCGGGCGCCCAGGGGCATCCAGCACCTGCCCGTGGCCTACCGGGCGCACGGGAACGCGTGGGCGGGCCGGGCCGTGCTGGCCGACTGGTTCCACCACATCTTCGTGCCCGCGGCGAGGGAGCACTTCCGAGCCCTGGGGCTGCCCGAGGACAGCAAGGCTGTGCTGCTGCTGGACGGCTCCCGGGCCCACCCGCAGGAGTCCGAGCTGGTGGCCGGGAGCATCTTCACCATCTTCCTGCCGGCCAGCGCGGCCGCCCTCCTCCAGCCCATGGACCAGGGCATTCGGCGGAGCTTCATGAGGAACTTCATCAACCCCCCGGGGGCGCTGCCCGGCTTCCACCCGCGCTACGGGGTGAGCGACGCCATCTGCAGTGTGGCCTGCGCCTGGGACGCCGTGCCCGCCGCCGTCTTCAGCCGCGCCTGGGGGCGGCTGTGGCCCGGGGCGGCCGCGCTGGCCAACGGCTCATCTTCCGAGGACGAGCCCGAGCGCCCGGGAGCCAGGCCTCACGACCAGACCTTCGCACACGTCCTGGAGCTCGGGGGCGAGGCCCTGTCGCGGATGAGCAGCAGGCTTCAGGGCAGCGCGGCCGCGGGGCAGGAGGCCGGAGCGGGGCGTCCGGCCGAGGGTCCCCCGGAGCAGGCGGAGAAGGGTGGGGGCTCCCAGGCGGCCGGGGAGAGCGAGGAGGCGACCTGGGAGCAGGCGGCCGCGGCCTTCGACACGGTGCTGCGCTTCGCCGAGGGGCAGCCTTGCTTCACGGCGCAGGAGCTGGGGCAGCTGCGGGCCCTGCGCTCCGTGTTCCTGCGGCGGCAGCAGCAGGGGCGGTGGCGGCGCCCACCCCTCAGGGCCGTGGTCAAGCTCGAGGGCCCCCGGGAGCGCACAGGGGGCTGCGCCGCCTCGGCCTGCGCGCCGTGCCCTGCGGGCGAGAACTGACGGTCCCCGGCCGCCTGCTGCCTGGTGCCGCCGGCAGGAGCTGTCCCTGGGGAGTGGGTGCTGGGGCGCGGCCCCTCACACTCAGTTACCTGCGTTCCGGTCACGCCCCGTGAACGTGAGGAGCTCAGCCTCCCGGGGCTGACCCTTGCTCTGACCCAGCGCAGAGCTGTCTGTCTGACCCGCCGAGCGTGGAGAGGGGAACGCCGGCCCTCAGGCCACCATGGCTGCGCTGCTGTCCCTCAGGTGGGCTGCTGGCTGGTGGCCGTGCCTGTCGCCAGCAGAGCCTGCCTGTGGCTGGGGTGGCAGCCTGCTTGCCGCCCCGCTGGAGGCTGGTCTCCCGCCGTGGCCGCGTCTTTCCTGAAAGAATCTCCATGCTTCCGGCACTCACCCGCCCCCGCCTTGGACTGGACCCCGAGATGCGGGCCACACGCTGATGGACGCGGTGGAACGTGCCGTTCCGAGCGCCTTCCCTGCTGGGCCCGCCCCCACCTTCCCTGTTGTCCCCTCGTCCCACCTTCCCCCTTCCCTTCGGCAGCCCGGGCAGCCTGGGCCGGGCCTCACTTCACTGCTCAGCCCTCTGCCCTCCCTGGTGCCACCTCGTCTCCTTTCATCCCTCTCCCTGCCCCTCCCTCGCCCAGCCCTGCGCACCGACCGTCTGTCCCTCTGGGGGGCCACGGCAGAGCCGCCCACGCAGGGCCTGGCCGCCGAGGGTGCTGGCCGAGCGGAAAGCTGCGTCCGCCCTCAGGGGACAGGCGCTCAGAGGAAGCCGCACGGGATGCTGCAGCCTCTGCTTGGCGGCCGGGTGGGCGCGGCGGCGTCTCCCACTGGCCTGCTGGCCACGCGTGGCTGCCGCCTGCTCCTCAGTGTCCGCGTTCGTGTCCCCTGTCAGCTGAGGATGGCACAGGCGGGACCGGGCTGTGGCCCTGCCCTGGCGGGGCGGGCGGGGCCTCCCGCGGGCACAGGGCTCCACGTGGGGGCGGAGCAGTCCGGGTGGAGGCCGTGGCTGCCCCACATGGAATGTGCTCGGCGCCCGAGCCGTCCACGCACCGTGGCCAAAGCCGCGACGTTCACATTCCGGGTGTTTTACCCCAATAGACAGCGAGGCCGAGGGCGGCGATGGGACTGGTGACTGGGCTGGGGGCCTGCAGAGCCTCAGCCTCCGGGGCTGGTCGGGGGGGCAGCTGGCCCCGTGTTGTCCCCTCGTCCCCCCTTCCCCCCTCACCGGGGCAGACCCAGCCGCCGCCGCCTGGGAATCGGGGAGGGGGCGGGCGGGCAGGGAGGGGGGCTCAGCCTGCCCATCGCCCACCGGTCCTCAGCACCCACTCAGTGCCAGGCGTTGCCAGGTCCCCGTGCCCAGCCTGCGTGGTGGGGCCAGGCCCGGCTGGAGCAGGACGAGGCCTAGTGAGGGGCAGGGCCAAGGGCCTGTGTCCGGCCGGCTGGGGGCAGGGGGTCCGGAGCAGCCTCTGACCCACCCGTCCTGTCCCCTCTCCACATTTATTGCCCCACCCCTGCCCCCCAGAGGCCTCACTGGCCACTCCAGGGCAGCCGCACCCTGACCCCGCGAGCTCAGCCGCCTGCTGGTGGCGGGTTCGGTCTCGCTGGAGGCCGCCCCCCAGGCCCAGGGACCCGGAGGCCTGCGGGCATCAGCCTCCCTACCCGTGGAAAGGATGAGTGTCAGCCACTCAGGGCCTTGGAGCCCGGCATCGGCGACCCTGACGTTTTAGGGAGAGAGGTGCCTGGCTGTGGTCTCTAAGCCGCTGCCTCACAGACACCTGGCTGGAGATGTGGGGGGAGGGGCGGAAGGTGGGGGCCGCCCTCTCCCTCTCCCCACTGTGTGTCCCCAGAGTCGCTCCTGGGCTGGGCAGGTGCGTCAGGGCCCGGCGGGTGGGTCGGCATGAGGGTGGGTCGGGATGACGCGGGCCTGACGTGCTTTCCTCCCAGACAAAGGCCTCCGCTGCTGGGGGGCCCAGATCCCGGAGGTGAGTCAGCGCCGGAGGGAGGGCCGGTGAGCAGTGAGCAGCCCCTCCTGGCAGCCCCTCCTGTCACTCGGGACAGCCCCAGGGAGGAGGGGGGCAGGGAGGGACGAGGAGGGGAGGGGAGGAGAAGCTGGACCCAGGCACCTGGAGAGGGAGGCCAGGCCCCCAGGACTCACCGCAGGCCCCTGAGCTGCCGCGGGGTCTGCTGGGCGTGGTGGCCGGGATTGCTGTGGGGGGCAGCCCTCAGACCAGAGGGCCTGACTCTCTGATGGGGAGGAGCTGAGCGGCCGCCAGCGTGGGGGGCAGCAGGTACCCGCCGCCCTGGCAGGCGACCGGCACCGGGTCCCAGGCCCCGCGAGGTGGTTGGAGCTGCCAGCTGTGGAGGGGGCGGCGGCGGCCACCAGGCCCTCCAGGGGGTCCGCGCGGGAGAACAAGGACAGACTGACGGCCCGAGTGGCGGGGTCTGAGGGGCCTGCAGGCACATCTCGGAGTCGGAGGATGTCCTGTGTCAGGGACATGGAGCCGCTCGGGTGGACAGGAAGGGGTGGGTGGCTCGGGCCGGCGTGGTCCCCAGTGCCCCCGCCCTCCGGCCAGCCCGCCTGTGCCACACGCTGGCCAGGGGCCGCGGGCTGTCCTCCTCGGAGCCCATGAGGGCGGGGCGGCCTCACCCCATGTGGTTGCCGTCCGTCCGCAGCAGGCTGCCTGGGTTCTCCAGCTGAGGGCCTAGTGCAGCCGAGGCATCTGACGGTTCCAGTGAGGTGGAACCTTCTAGAGACTCGAGGACGGGATAGTCCGGACCCCTGGGCACTCCGTGGGGCCCCTCCGTGGGCTGGGCCAGGGGCACTTCCAGCCTCAGGACAGAGAAATAAATGTTTAAGCCCGAAGCCTGTGGTGTTTTGTTGTGGCGCCTGAGCAGCTGGGACAATGGGGAGGGTGCAGGGGGTGATGGGGGTGATGGGGGAGAGGGTGGTGATGGGGGTGGGGGGTGATGGGGGTGATGGGGGAGGGGGTGGTGATGGGGGTGGGGGGGTGATGGGGGTGGTGGGGTGATGGGGGTGGAGGTGGTGATGGGGGTGATGGGGGTGATGGGGGTGGGGGTGGTGATGGGGGTGCAGGGGGTGATGGGGGTGGGGGTGGTGTGATGGGGGTGGTGTGATGGCAGTGAAAGTGGAGGTGATGGTGATGGGGTGATAGTGGTGAAGGTGCAGGTGATGGTGGCGATGAGGGGGTGGGGGTGGTGATGGGGGGGTGGCTGTGACAATGGTATGACTGCTTGTACGAGGGACACTTGGAACTCAGGGCAGGTCCTGGACCGTGGGCAGTGGATCTCCTATCAGCGCCTCCTGCTGGGGACCTGCTGGGTTAGGGACCTGCCACTCCCCCCACGGGGTCTGGGAGCCCAGGCTGTCCTGGAGCCCCGCCCCCTGTGTGGGATCGCCTCCTGCCCCCCCCCACCCCCCACCAGCCGGGCCCCCCGCAGACACGAGTCCCCGGGCCTCCTGGGGGCCTTGTATTTGTGTGTAGAAACGCCGGGTCCGCTGGGCCCAGGGAGTGTGGTCTCCCCGGGTGGTGGCTGGGCTGTGACCCGAGGGCCATTGCCACTTGACCCAGCAGAGGCCGAGGAGTCCGGGGTGGCCGCGCCCCAAGCCGCTCCTGCCACAAATGACCAGTCCCTCGGCTGATGGATGTGCCCTGGCGATGGCCCTCTGGCTGGGGTCGGGGGGAGGAGGGCCTGGCCGCTGGCTGGGAGGGCAGCGACCAGGGACCCACAACCCCGCGTCCACCCTGCTTCCAGGGCGGGGAGTCAGGGCCGGAGGTCGTGGGCAGCCAGGGCAGGAGCCCAGGAGAGCGGCTGCCGCTGGACTAGGTGGCCCGAGACCCGTACAAGAGGGCGGGTGGGGAGGCAGCTGCGAAGGGCGGGTGACCAGGCCCAGCCCCGGGGAGGGAGGGAGTGGCCAGCGGTCAGACAGGTGGCCGGGCCGGGAGCCTGGGGGGGCCTGGGGCACAGAGGGAGGGAGGGCAAGCCCCGTGTCACCCCTGCTGCAGCCCTGCGCCCCTCAACGCACCCTGCAAGCCCCTGGTCCAGCTCCCTCCCTGGGGCCAGTCCGGAAGATGGTGGAGGAGCTCCAGGAGCTCCGCTGTCCTATCGACAGCCCGGCAGGCGCCCAGGCTCCCTCCGCGGGAATTCGGGGAGGCCAGGGGCCGCGGGCAGGGCTTGCAGCTCCGGGAGGCCTGTCCCCAGCAGACGCTCTGGTGAGTGGAGGGCAGGGAGGGTGGGGGACCCCGGCTTCGGGCGCCCCGGCCACCGCCATTCCCGTTTCCGGCGGGCGGGGCCCTGCAGGCACGGGCGCTGGGGCGGAGCCGCCTGCGTGGGGAAGCTCCGCGTCACAGCTATTCTCAGCCGAGCTCCTCTCTCCTTTTATGGCTCCGGAAGCCGCAGCCGCACGCGGGAGAGTTCATGGGAGGCGCCGGGACAGCGGGAAGGCGCCCACGCCCGTCCCTGGCACTGGGCTCCGGAGCCGCAGTTCCGGGGCGTCCGGCTGGGCCAGCTGGCAGCGAACCCCCACCCTGGCTGCGGGGCTGCCTCGCGTGGGGACCTGGCAGCAGGATCTGGGTCCCTGGGCACCAGGGGACGGGCACCCAGAGGGACAGGGGAAGGGGCAGCTGAGGCTCCAAACCCGGAGGCTCCTGGCGAGGCCTCGCCCCCTCCCTCACCTGATGGCCAGCCGGGCCCTGGCTCCTCGTCCCTGAACCCTAGGCAGCCCTCCCCCCAGCACCTGGCTCTCAGCTGGGAGCCTCCCCACCTGCTGCCCCTGTGGCCCCTGTGCCCCTCCAGGCCACAGACCCAGTGTCCCTGCCCAGCAGCCCGTCCCCTCCCGGCTCTGCCCCTGGAGACAGAACCCAGCTGCCCCCACACCCCACCAGCCAGACCCCTGCACGCAGCCCACCCCTGCTCACCCTTCAGCTGCCCAGCCCTTCCCGGGCTCCCGCCCCCACCGCGGTGGGATCCCCACCACCCGCTGCAGGGGTCTCTCTCCTGCCTGGGTCCGGTCCGAGGGGACCAGCCTGACCCATGAAGGCCGAGGGTGGCCCCTTGAAGAGCTTGGGCTGTGAGCGGAGGCTGGACGCGCTGCTGCTGGCGCGGCCCGTGTCCTCCAGGGCCTGCGTGGGCCGGTCTGCACACCCGCACCCACCTCGCCACGTCCCCGGGAACTGTTTGTTGACTGAAGGACCGACCACCTCACGGCTGAGCGGGCAGATGGTCGTGCGCCCTCCCCCTCCCGCCCGGCTCTGGCCTCCTTGCTGCGGGGCTCGGCCCTCCCTCGGCCTCAGTTTCCTCTCCCACAGGCTGAGGGGGGGGGGGGGCTTGGAGGACAGGCTCTCCACACCAGGCCTGCGGCTCTGCTCAGCCTCCTGGTCCGGGGGCGGGGACGCCTAAGGATGTGGGGAGCAGCTGGTGCCGCACCGGGTGCCAGGATCGCGGGAAAATACAGAACTTTCCTTGGAGGCTGGACCGGAAGGCGGGAGGCGGGAGGAGGGTCTGGATGTTGGGCCCAGAAGGAATGGCTGCCTGTTCAGGGACAGGACGCAGCACTCTCCCTGCCAAGCTGGGGAGGAAGCAGCGAGGGGGCTCAGAAAGGAAGTGTTCTCTCAGCTGGCACTGCCTCCCCATTCCCGTCCCCCCCCCCCCCCCCGCCCCGTCTCGGTCTTGGCCCATGGTCGGTGCCCTGCACGGAGGGTCTCTGAGGCCCCGGCAGGCGGAGGCGGCAGGAAGGGGCCACAGGCGGGACCCCACACACCCCCCTCCCAGGTCCCGGCACTGACACTGTGACAGGGACTGGGAGGGGCCAGCCCCTCCGCCTCAGGGACACGCGGCTCGGGCACTGTCGCCCCATTTCACAGGTGGAAAGTTGAGGCTCAGGTGACCTAACTAATGTCTCCCAACCAGAAATGGCTGGAGAAGGGCCGGGCCTCCGTCTGTCCCCTGACCCGCCTGGAGGCCTGCTCTGTGCCAGGCCCACTCTGTGCTCTAGCCACTCCACTGAGCCCAGTCACCCTGCCTGGGAGGCAGCGGGAGCAGGGGGGGCACAGGTCCTGCACTCGGGGACCCCTGGGCCGGGATGGAGGGGGGCTGCCCACCAGCAAATGCCGAGCCAGGCACTGGGCCTGCGGCGGGCTCCCTGTGGCAGACAGGCCGCCCGTCCATTCTGCCCTGATCCCACAGGCGTGGTGGCCATGGAATGAGGCCATCTGACCCGGATGGCCCCACAGGGTGGCCGGCAGAGACGTGGTTCGTGGTTCGTGGAGGGTGGGCTCCTGGATGACAGGCCCAGACCGGGTGGGAAGGGGCCGACTGCCAAGGCGGACCTTAGCCAGGGGGGAGTTTGGAAGCCACAGGAGAGGAGGCGGGTCCCCAGAGGGGGTGTGAGCCTGGGGGGGGGGGCTGGTCACAGGGCAGCCACGGGCAGGTAGGTGGTGTAGGTGGCAAGGTGGCGAGGCCCCAAGAAGCACAAGGCTCAGTGGGCTGGGCGCCCTGAGGCTGGGATGGAGGCCGAGCCTGAGATGAGCATCTTAGCACCTGGCTGTGGCCACCTGAGCCCCAGGGCAGCAGGCCAGGCCTGGAGGGTCTTAAGTGGGTCCCGCTGGGATCCTAGCATTGGGATCCCTGCCTGCCCTCCACCCCCCGCAGAGCCCCTCCCTCCCTAAGGCAAGGCCTGGGCAGTTGTCAGGCCGGGAGCCTCAGACCAGCTGGGCTCGGAGAGAAGAGGTTCCCAGGCCCTCCCCTCCTTGCACGTCCAGCTCTCCCTCCGCCTGCTCCTCCCCAGCCTGCCCCTCCTGCTCTGTGTGAGGCTGGGGGGGGGGGGGAGGTCTGCTCTCTGTGGGGGGAGGGCTGCACAGAGGGGCGGGCGGGCAGACCCCATCCCAGGCGGTGGAGCAGCCTGGAGGTGGAAGAACGCAGCCCCAGGCGCCAGTGCGGGGGGGGGGGGGGGTTTGCGGGGCCTCTGGGGCGATAATTGGGCCGTGATTACGTTCCCCAGCAAAGAGCCGCAGCCTGTCACCTGTCACTGCGGCCGCCAGTGCCGCCTCCGCGCAGGTTCTGCGGCATCGCCCCTCCCCTGGCCACGGAGGGACTGGCCTTGGAAGGGGGACACCAACTTAACCTTGAGCCCCGGCCCCACCCCCCAGGCTGGCTGCCCTACAAAGGTGACGGCTAACCCCGCGCCTGCCTTGGCTCCCCCTCCCCAGTCCCTGGCACCCTCCCCTCCCTGGTCCCCCAGGCCCTGGCTGGGCGCCGCTTCCTCCAGGAAGCCCTGCCAGCCCACTGCTGCCGTGGGTGGGGCAGGTGGAGGCTGGAGACCACTGTGGGTCCCGGGATCACGGAGCCACGCCCGGGCCCAGGCCACCCAGCTGGTCAGGGGACCTGGGCCCGAGTGCCGCCCGCCTCAGGGGCACAGGGACTTGGTACGCTGTGGAGGGGGCCAGCGGGTGACTCCTGGCCACCCGGGTGCTGGCTTTGGCACGTCCGCTGCACACGCGTGTGGTGTGCACAAGGGTGGGCGAGCGCGGTCCCTGCCCAGCCGGCTCAGGGGGCGCCTCCCCTAACCAGGGCCCTCAGGCAAGTCCGAGCTCACCTCAGAAGTGGGCACGGCTGCCCCTCCACCCAGGCTCCCGGGACCAGGCCCGCTGGCACCCCGGCCGCTCACCCCACAGACCTTGCACACCCAGGCCACGGCTGCCTCCTCCTCCGCTGCGGCTCCGGGAAACGCCTGGGGCTGCGGCGCGGGATCCCTGCTCTGGAAGCGCTGCCTGCCGCCCCCTCCTCTGCCCACCCACTCGCCTTTAATTAGAAATGCCAGGAGAGCCATTTTTGGGGAATTTTTGCCAGAAAGACTTTCCCCGTCCAAAGCAGGGGCGGAAGCTCAGATTGGCTGGGGTGGGGAGGAGGGCTCCCCGGGCTCGGGGAAGGGGCTGGGGGAGTGGGGACTCCAGTGTGGGCACCTGCAGGAGCTGTGTCCCCAATGAGTGACTCAGACAGAGGGGCTGGGTGAGGGGGTGGGGGTGAGTGTACTGGGGGGTGAGCGTGTACTGGGGGGTGAGCGTGTACTGGGGGTGAGTGTACTGGGGGGTGAGCGTGTACTGGGGGTGAGTGTACTGGGGGGTGAGCGTGTACTGGGGGGTGAGCGTGTACTGGGGGTGAGTGTACTGGGGGGTGAGCTTGTACTGGGGGTGAGTGTACTGGGGGGTGAGCGTGTACTGGGGGTTGAGCTTGTACTGGGGGTGAGCATGTACTGGGGGTTGAGTGTTCTGGGGGGATCCGTGTCTGTGGGGGATGCATGTCTGTGGGGGGATGGTGTCTGTGGGGGGATGCGTGTCTGTGGGGGATGCATGTCTGTGGGGGGATGGTGTCTGTGGGGGATGCATGGGGAGGGATGACTGGGGGATGAGTGTGCAGTGTGTGGGGTGGGAGAGGGAGAGGGACATGCAGTGGGGCTCAGCTCTCCTCACCGGCACTGGGGTGTCCATGCCCTGGCTGTGAGCCATGGTGCGTGTGGCCTTGCCCAGGTGACAGGCGGGGACCTGGGACCCAGGCCCTCCTCCACGGGGTTACCCGGGAAGGACGTCCCTGCACTGTTGCCAGGGAGGCCTGGGAATCGCAGCTTCCGGAGCCCCAGGCCTTATATGGCGCTCTCTCGGCTGGCTGGGCTGTGCTGCTGCAAAAGGCTGGCTCCCTCGCCCGCCCCTCCTCTCCCTCCCTCCTCCCGCTCCCTCCTCCCTCTCCCTCTCCAGCCTCTTGGAGCTTCTGACCAGGTTTCCCCCTGGCCTGGGGGTTCAGGGCCCAGCCCCCTGCAGCGGGCGGCAGATCCTCCATCCCCTCCCCACCCTACCCCACCCCTCCCGCAGGCTTCCAGATTGGGGGACACTTCTTGGGGAAATCTCAGGCCTCACCGCAGCCTGGGAGTGGGCCAGCACCTGCCAGGCTGTCTCACACCCACACCTATGCCAGGGGCGGGCAGAGCCCAGGCCTGGGCGCAGGTCCCACCCCAGCGGGGAGGACCCCCAGGGCAGGGGCGGGCAGGGGCTCCAGGCCTGACCCCTGGGAGTGTGCGTGCGCCTGGCTGGGCACCCGGAGGCTCCCTGAAACCTTCAGCTCCAGGGGAGGAGGGTCTGAGTGGGGAGGGGGGGCGGTTGTCAGGGTTCATCTGCGGCCGAACATCGCTGCACTGGGCAGGGTGGGCGGCCAGCAGGACCCGGGAGGCAGAGCCCAGCACCAGCACCCTCACCCCTCCCGCCCCGGAAGCCCGCCCTGAGGCCCTGGGAGGGTCCCCCTCATTACCCCCGCGCGTGCGGGAGCGGGGAGGGCGGGAGGCTAACGGTCCGTCCGGCCTCTCGGGGCGCCCAGCGGCCCCGCCCCGCCCAGCGCCGTTGTGGGGGGTGGTCGCGGGTCCCCAGCTCGTCCCCCAGGTTTGCAGGCTGAAGGGGCCGGGGAGGGGGCGGCGGAGCCGGCGGATTAGTCACTCGAGGCCGGGCGGGGTGCAGGAGGTGGGTCCTCGCTCTGCACCGGGCGCGAGTGGCGCGGGGGCGGACCCGGGGGGGGGGCGCGGGCCAATGGGAGGCCGCGCTCGGCGAGGGGCCGCCCACGGGCGCCGGCAGCATAAAGAGCGGGCGCCGCGGCAGCGGGATGCAGAGCTCGGCGCCGCTCCTCACTGCTTCCCTGTGCAGCACGACGAGCCTAGCTCCGCCGCCCCAGCCAGCCAGCCAGCCAGCCAGCCAGCCGGCAGTCCATCCATCCGCACCGGCGCGCCCGCACCTCCGCACCCCGCCGGCCCCGAGCGGACTCCGCAGCGCGCCCCTCCCTCCCGTCCGAGCGCCGCGGCCACCTGCGCGCAGATGGAGCTGGACCACAGGACGACCGGAGGCCTCCACGCCTACCCCGGGCCGCGGGGCGGGCCGGTGGCCAAGCCCAACGTGATCCTGCAGATCGGTAAGTGCCGGACCGAGATGCTGGAGCACGTGCGCAGGACCCACCGGCACCTGCTGGCCGAGGTCTCCAAGCAGGTGGAGCGCGAGCTCAAGGGGCTGCACCGGTCGGTGGGCAAGCTGGAGAGCAACCTGGACGGCTACGTGCCCACGAGCGACTCGCAGCGCTGGCGGAAGTCCATCAAGGCCTGCCTGTGCCGCTGCCAGGAGACCATCGCGCACCTGGAGCGCTGGGTCAAGCGCGAGATGCACGTGTGGCGCGAGGTCTTCTACCGGCTGGAGCGCTGGGCCGACCGCCTGGAGGCCATGGGCGCCAAGTACCCGGTGGGCAGCGAGCCGGCGCGCCACACCGTCTCCGTGGGCGTCGGGGGCCCCGAGAGCTGCAGCCAGGAGGCCGACGGCTACGACTACAGCGTCAGCCCCTACGCCATCACCTCACCGCCCGCCGCGGGCGAGCTGCCCGGCCAGGAGCTGGAGGAGGCCCAGCAGTACCCGCCCTGGGGGCCCGGCGAGGACGGGCAGCCCCACCCGGGCGTGGACACGCAGATCTTCGAGGACCCGCACGAGTTCCTCAGCCACCTGGAGGAGTACCTGCGGCAGGTGGGCGGCACCGAGGAGTACTGGCTGTCCCAGATCCAGAACCACATGAACGGGCCCGCCAAGAAGTGGTGGGAGTACAAGCAGGGCTCGGTCAAGAACTGGGTGGAGTTCAAGAAGGAGTTCCTGCAGTACAGCGAGGGCACGCTGTCCCGCGAGGCGATGCAGCGGGAGCTGGACCTGCCGCAGAAGCAGGGCGAGCCGCTCGACCAGTTCCTCTGGCGCAAGCGCGACCTGTACCAGACGCTGTACGTGGACGCGGACGAGGAGGAGGTCATCCAATACGTGGTGGGCACCCTGCAGCCCAAGCTCAAGCGCTTCCTGTGCCACCCGCTGCCCAAGACCCTGGAGCAGCTCATCCAGCGGGGCCTGGAGGTGCAGGGCGGCCTGGCGCAGGCCGAGCCCGCCGGCCCCCCGCGCCCCGCCCCGGAGGAGGCTGAGGCCGAGGCCGAGGCTGAGGCTGAGGCCGAGGAAGCCCTCACGCCGGCCCTCACCAACGAGTCCGTGGCCAGTGATGGGACCCAGCCCGAATAGAGGGCCCGGGGCCGGCCCACCCGCCCGCCCGCCACGCCCGCCTGTAGTAGCCCTTGCCAACCCGGACTTCCCAGCTGGGCCGACTCCTCGGGGGACAGCCCTTGGCCTCCCAGCCTGATCCACATGGACACACAGTTACGGACAGTGTCCCCTCTCCCTGCAGGACCTGCCCTGCCACCTCCCGCTGTCTGTCTTCTGGGGCCTGGGCCTGCCCCCTCCAGACCCCTCACCCCCCAACACACACTCACACTCAGGTCATGACGAGTCCCACCTCCCCCCTCCGAACGGCACGGCAGCGGGCACCGAGCTCAGGACACCCCAGAGCCGCCGCGAAGACACAGCCCGTGCCGCGGGGACCTCGGCTGCGGGGCTGCGGCCCCTCCCGGCAGTGGCCGCACGGGCAGCCGGCCAGCCTCGCACAGGACAGCCGGGCTCCGTCCTGGAGGAAACTGAAGCTGAACCCCAGCCTCCGCAGCAGCAGCAGCAGCAGACCTGGCCCCCACCTCCTGGCCCTCAGGTGAGCCCCTGCAGCTGGGCACTACCACCAGGGGTCGCTGTGGAGCTGGGAGGGCCCAGGCCAAGTCCATGGTCCGGGCGAGCCGACCACCATGGTCTCAGTGGCTTAGAGACACCCCAACCAGTCCGCCACCGGGCTGAGTGGGGGCGCAGAGACCCCGGGGTGAGGGAGAGGGGCAGGCGGGAGGCAGGGCCGGGGGAGTTTGCTGAGCCAGCTCACACGGATCCTGTGTTCTCTCCCCAGCAGCATCTGTGATTCATGCTCCAGCTCAGCTGGGTGACTCACCACGCGGGCAGAGGGTCCCACGGGCCCCAGTCCTCGAACCAGCTGAGGCGGCAGCCGTGTCCACGGAGCCAGGAGAGTGACCACAGGTAAGGGAGCCCCAGCCCTCCCGCTCAGGACCTTCCCTCTGCTGTCCTCACTAGGGGCCTGCGAGGCCCTTCCTACAGACCCTCCGCCCCGCCCTCTCCCCGCCCTCCGCCCTCCGCCCCGCCCCGCCCCGCCCTCCGCCCTCCGCCCCGCCCTCCGCCCTCCGCCCCGCCCCCCGCCCCTCCGCCCCGCCCTCCACCCTCCGCCCCGCCCTCCGCCCCTCCGCCCCGCCCTCCACCCCTCCGCCCCGCCCTCCGCCCCTCCGCCCCGCCCTCCACCCTCCGCCCCGCCCTCCGCCCCTCCGCCCCGCCCTCCGCCCCTCCGCCCCGCCCTCCACCCCTCCGCCCCGCCCTCCGCCCCTCCGCCCCGCCCTCTCCCCGCCCTCCGCCCTCCGCCCCGCCCCGCCACGCCCTCCGCCCTCCGCCCCGCCCTCCGCCCTCCGCCCCGCCCTCCACCCTCCGCCCCGCCCTCCGCCCTCCGCCCCGCCCTCCGCCCCTCCGCCCCGCCCTCCACCCCTCCGCCCCGCCCTCCGCCCCCGCCCCGCCCTCCACCCTCTGCCCCGCCCTCCGCCCCCGCCCCGCCCTCCACCCTCCGCCCCGCCCTCCGCCCCGCCCCGCCCTCCGCCCCGCCCCTGACGCCCAGTGTCTTCCTTCCCTCCAGGTCTCAGGCTCCCCGGAGCCCCGGCTGCTGCGCCTGGCACTGCCCGCCCCCCTCTCCTCCACAAGCTGCCCGCCAGGAGGAGACGCCTGAGGCCCGCGAGGGGGGCTGCGGAGAGGGGACCCCGAGGAGAGCGGTGCTGAAGACAGGCCGGCGCGAGGGCCAGGCTGCCACGTGCCCGCCCCGCCGGCCGCCAGCCCGCCGGGCCCCAGCCACTGCGGCTGGAGCTGGAGTTCGCTACCCAGGCCCGACTCCTCCAGCCTAGGAACCCGCCCACTGCGTGGCCATCCGCTCCCCTCCCGCTGAGCTTCCCGCCCGCCCTGGGCTAAGGCCGCGGCCTCCGCTCCTGCGCCCGGCCGGTGGCCCCAGGACGCCCCAAGCCTTTGCTGCTGGGGCTCAAGCTGCGCTCTGCCAGGCCCCGCTGCTGCCCAGGCCCGACCCCCACCTCCCCGACACCAACACCCTGGTGCTGCCCGCGACTTGTGTCTGCCTAGCGGGTCCTGTTTGGGGGTCCCCTTCCTGCCTGTCCACTGGGGGTTCCCAGGTTCGGGGACCGACAGCTGCAGGTGACACTCAGCCCCTCCACCCCGTGCCCTTGCCACCCCCACCCTCAGGTTTAAGTTTGCACATGAGCCATAACCCATGTCCCAGGCTGCAGGGCCCTCCCTGAAGACAGACTCTTTTGTAAGATTTTGCTAATAAAACACTGAGACTTGGCGGAGTGTGCGGGCTGCTGTTTCTGGCCGGAATGGAGCTGCGGAGGGAGGCAGCCCAGGGCGGGCCCGAAGTCCAGATTGCGGGGTCTCTGGGAACTCGGGGAGCAGGGCAGCTGTCAGGGCCCTGGATCCTCAGGGTGGAAGGGCCTCAGGGGCTCCCCTTACAGAAGCCAGCCCCCTGCAGCCCCCCCACCCAGGCCGGCAGCAGGCGGAGGGGCTGGGAGGAGGCCGAGGCTGCCCCCTTCCCCCTGCCGCCGGGGTGTGTGTGTGGGGGGCGGGGAACTCCCAGGGCTCAGCCCACACAGCAGCCGGTGGGCCCGAGGGGACTTCTCAGGCCCTGGAGCCCCGGGGACCCAGGCAAGGCAATTCCCTGCTGGGAGGGGCCCTGGCGAGCCCTGGCTGCAGGTTCATGAACTTGGTCTCTTTCAGCCTCAGTCCCCTCACCTGCAAAACGGGCACCGTCACTAACATAGTTCATGTGGGCTCACACACAAACTCAGAAACGAGGGCCACCGATGCCCTGGGGGAGGCTGGCTCACCCGTCTGAGGGGAACACCAGGTCCCCGAGGGGGAGGGAGAGTAGCCTGGGGGGTGCATGCCAGCCAGTGTCTAATGAGAAGCGGGACTGGAGGGGGGGACAGTGCGAGGCCTGTCATGGGAGCTGGCCCACGCGGCGGGGTGGGGGGTGGGTGTGGGTAGGGGGGAGGCTGTCTGTGTCAAGGGGCTCCCTCACACAGACACACAGACACACACAGACACACACACAGAGAGAAGCAAGACAGACAGTGAGAGGGAGACAGAGACACACACACCCAGACACACACACACCCAGACATGTGTGTGTCTGTGTGTGTGTCTGTGGGTCTGTGTGTGTGTGTGTGTGTCTGTGTGTGTGTCTGTGGGTCTGTGTGTGTGTGTGTGTCTGTGTGTGTGTCTGTGGGTCTGTGTGTGTGTGTGTGTCTGTGTGTGTGTCTGTGGGTCTGTGTGTGTGTGTGTGTCTGTGTGTGTGTCTGTGGGTCTGTGTGTGTGTGTGTGTCTGTGTGTGTGTCTGTGGGTCTGTGTGTGTGTGTGTGTCTGTGTGTGTGTCTGTGGGTCTGTGTGTGTGTGTGTGTCTGTGGGTCTGTGTGTGTGTGTGTGTCTGTGTGTCTGTGTGTGTGTCTGTGTGTGTGTCTGTGGGTCTGTGTGTGTGTCTGTGGGTCTGTGTGTGTGTCTGTGTGTGTGTCTGTGGGTCTGTGTGTGTGTCTGTGTCTGGGTGTCTGTGTGTCTGTGTGTGTGTCTGTGTGTGTGTCTGGGTGTCTGGGTGTGTGTCTGTGTCTGGGTGTCTGTGTGTCTGTGTGTGTGTCTGTGTGTCTGTGTGTGTGTCTGTGTCTGGGTGTCTGTGTGTCTGTGTGTGTGTCTGTGGGTCTGTGTGTGTGTGTGTGTCTGTGTGTGTGTGTGTGTGTGTGTGTCTGTGTGTGTGTCTGTGTGTCTGTGTGTGTGTCTGTGGGTCTGTGTGTGTGTCTGTGTGTGGGTCTGTGTGTGTGTCTGTGTGTGTGTCTGTGTGTCTGTGTGTGTGTCTGTGGGTCTGTGTGTGTGTCTGTGTGTGGGTCTGTGTGTGTGTCTGTGTGTGGGTCTGTGTGTGTGTGTGTGTCTGTGTGTGTCTGTGGGTCTGTGTGTGTGTCTGTGTGTGGGTCTGTGTGTGTGTCTGTGGGTCTGTGTGTGTGTCTGTGTGTGGGTCTGTGTGTGTGTCTGTGTGTGGGTCTGTGTGTGTGTGTGTGTCTGTGTGTGTGTCTGTGTCTCTGTGTGTGTGTCTGTGTCTGGGTGTCTGTGTGTCTGTGTGTGTGTCTGTGGGTCTGTGTGTGTGTGTCTGTGTGTGTGTGTGTGTGTCTGTGTGTGTGTCTGTGTGTGTCTGTGTGTGTGTCTGTGGGTCTGTGTGTGTGTGTGTGTGTGTGTGTCTGTGTGTGTTATCTGTGTGTGTGTGTCTGTGTGTGTGTCTGTGTGTGTGTCTGTGTGTGTGTCTGTGTGTCTGTGTGTGTGTCTGTGTCTGGGTGTCTGTGTGTCTGTGTGTGTGTCTGTGGGTCTGTGTGTGTGTGTGTGTCTGTGTGTGTGTGTGTGTCTGTGTGTGTGTCTGTGTGTGTGTGTGTGTCTGTGTGTGTGTCTGTGTGTCTGTGTGTGTGTCTGTGGGTCTGTGTGTGTGGTGTGTGTGTGTGTGTGTCTGTGGGTCTGTGTGTGTGTGTGTCTGTGTGTGTGTCTGTGTGTCTGTGTGTGTGTCTGTGGGTCTGTGTGTGTGTGTGTCTGTGTGTGTGTCTGTGGGTCTGTGTGTGTGTGTGTCTGTGTGTCTGTGTGTGTGTCTGTGTGTGTGTGTCTGGGTGTCTGGGTGTCTGGGTGTCTGTGTGTGTGTGTGTGTGTGTGTCTGGGTGTCTGGGTGTCTGTGTGTCTGTGTGTGTGTCTGTGGGTCTGTGTGTCTCTGTGTGTGTGTGTGTGTCTGTGTGTCTGTGTGTGTGTCTGTGTGTGTGTGTCTGGGTGTCTGGGTGTCTGGGTGTCTGTGTGTGTGTGTGTGTGTGTGTCTGGGTGTCTGTGTGTCTGTGTGTGTGTCTGTGGGTCTGTGTGTGTGTGTGTCTGTGTGTGTGTGTGTGTGTCTGTGTGTGTGTCTGTGTGTGTGTCTGTGGGTCTGTGTGTGTGTGTCTGTGTGTGTGTCTGTGGGTCTGTGTGTGTGTCTGTGTCTGGGTGTCTGTGTGTCTGTGTGTGTGTCTGTGGGTCTGTGTGTGTGTGTGTCTGTGTGTGTGTGTGTGTCTGTGTGTGTGTCTGTGTGTGTGTGTGTGTGTCTGTGTGTGTGTCTGTGTGTCTGTGTGTGTGTCTGTGGGTCTGTGTGTGTGTGTGTGTGTGTGTGTCTGTGGGTCTGTGTGTGTGTGTGTCTGTGTGTGTGTCTGTGTGTCTGTGTGTCTGTGTGTGTGTCTGTGGGTCTGTGTGTGTGTGTGTCTGTGTGTGTGTCTGTGGGTCTGTGTGTGTGTGTGTCTGTGTGTCTGTGTGTGTGTCTGTGTGTGTGTGTCTGGGTGTCTGGGTGTCTGGGTGTCTGTGTGTGTGTGTGTGTGTGTGTCTGGGTGTCTGGGTGTCTGGGTGTCTGTGTGTGTGTCTGTGGGTCTGTGTGTCTCTGTGTGTGTGTGTGTGTCTGTGTGTCTGTGTGTGTCTGTGTGTGTGTGTCTGGGTGTCTGGGTGTCTGGGTGTCTGTGTGTGTGTGTGTGTGTGTGTCTGGGTGTCTGGGTGTCTGGGTGTCTGTGTGTGTGTCTGGGTGTCTGGGTGTCTGTGTGTGTGTCTGGGTGTCTGGGTGTCTGTGTGTGTGTCTGGGTGTCTGGGTGTCTGTGTGTGTGTCTGTGGGTCTGTGGGTCTGTGTGTCTGTGTGTGTCTGTGTGTGTGTCTGTGGGTCTGTGTGTGTGTCTGTGTGTGTGTCTGTGTGTCTGTGTGTGTGTCTGTGGGTCTGTGTGTGTGTCTGTGTGTCTGTGTGTGTGTCTGTGGGTCTGTGTGTGTGTCTGTGTGTCTGTGTGTGTGTCTGTGTGTGTGTCTGTGTGTCTGTGTGTGTGTCTGTGGGTCTGTGTGTGTGTCTGTGTGTCTGTGTGTGTGTCTGTGTGTCTGTGTGTGTGTCTGTGGGTCTGTGTGTGTGTGTGTCTGGGTGTCTGGGTGTCTGGGTGTGTCTGAGGGGCTCCCTCCTCCACCTCATTGAGCCAGGCCCGCCCAGGCCCGGGTCGTCCCTCAAGTCCACCCTGTGAGCTGCAGTCTCGCCCACTCAAGACCTCAGCGACCCCCAGGTTAGGGTTGATGGTGCCTGGGGGGCAGCACCCAGCCAAGTTCTATCCCAACCGCCCATCCCCCCTCCCAGGGGCTGCTCTGCCCGGTGGGGTGCTGGGCCAGGTGGGTACGAGGGCAGGTGGGTGGCTGCAGGGGCGCCAGCTCGACCAGCCGAGAACTTAGACACGGGGGGAGGGGGGGGGATGAGGACGGAGCCTGCATGGGGACAGGACATGAGGGGGGCACCTGGGGAGGCAGGAAATGAGTCAGAGTCAGGAACCACCTGCCACCTGGGCTGTCAGACTGTCGTCAGCGCCCCCCCCCCCCCCCAGGCCGCCGTTTCCCTCTCCCTCCCCTTCTTTCCTTTAAGCAGTGACAGTGCGACAACAGGGAACAGGGAGGCGGGAAGGGGCGGCGGGCGGGGTGGGACTTCTCCCCGGAAGTGCCTCTGCCGCACGGAGCTGGGTGGTGGGTGCTTCTCTCCCACCGAGAGGTGACCCCCTGCGATGGGTGCACACGGGCTCCCTGACACTTCTAGGGCGGAGCCGGCGTCTGTCCTCTGTTTGTGTGTGTGTCTGTGTGTGTGTGTGTGTGTGTGTGTGTGTGTGTGTGTGTCTCTCTCTCCCCCTCTCACTGGCTGTCTTGCTTCTCTCTGTCTGTGTCTGTCTGTCTGTCTCTCCTCCTCTCCCCCTCCCTGGGCAGAACAGAGTGGGAAGGACCTGGGGGTCTGAGTGGGAAGGACCCCTGCAGGCCCGGGGATGAGGGAGTGAGGGCCAGCGAGGGCAGAGAGGGACGGGGGGGGGGGGATGGGGGTGCTTTGTGGAGAGAAGGGCCAAGGCCCGGGCAGGAGTGAGGAGGATGTGCCTGGAGGGGCAGGGGGCACGGCTCACCTTAGGGCCAGCCCAGCCCTTCCCCAAGGAGCCACCTGCTCCCAGTCGAGGCTGAATTAGGGGGCTCCCCACTGTGCTCCTTGCCCTCTTTCTCTCCCTGCCCCCCCAATGCCCAGCACCACCCGGGGCTCCACGCCCAGCTCCCAGCAGCTGGGTGCCCCCATCAGCCAGGCAGCCCAGCCCCAGCCCTTGGCTCTGGGGCCCGGCTGTGGGGCTGTAGTAGGCGCAGGGGTCCTCTGGCCCTCAGCCACCACTGCTGGCCGTGCGGGAGCCTCAGAGCGGAATGGGGAAACTGAGGCCTGAGAGAGGCAGGGGTCCCAGGGGAATCAGGCAGCCTCCTTCACGCCT